CCTTTTCTTATACTTAAAAGATGGGAAGGAAAAGTGAATTTGTTGACGGTGGAGGAGACGCATAGGAAGGAGAAATGTCCTCTTTATGTGTCTAATTTAAAAATCCATAATGCAATATGATAGATTCCTGTCTATACGTTCGTTTACATCTAGGATGTGTAAACAGTTGGTTGCATGCGGCGGCACGCAGCCCATACCGCGCGTTTGCTCAGCGAGCTCGTACAATGCGGCCAGAGATACAGCGGGTATATAAGCTGAAGCGATTTGCTAGGATTGGGATCATGTTAAGTTATTTTTTATTATTATTATTATCGCTTATGAATTAAACATAATTAAAGCTACATTATACACGTTTATAAAATTGCTCAGTACGTAACTTTTAATGTACTTTCCGTGTTATATTCGATCGATCTAAAACAATATTGAAATACCATAAGACTGATAGTCATAGCTTTGTTGTCTATTATTTGTGTTATTTTTCATAATACGTATAAAGGAAGTTTCTATTATTTCATAGATAAACTTTTAATGAAAGCGAGAAATTAATAAATTCCTCTAAAAACAAGCTTAAAATGAAAGCTAAATCAAAATGCAAATCCTAAACCGTGCGCATGATATTTTCCGATTGGGTACAACACAAACAGCACGTGTCCGCGCCTCCGCCTCACTCATCTCGATGTTTACACAGGCCGGCAGCGATTTACCTCAGCCCATTACTACAGCGGTTTTATAGTATTCTATACGTTTCTCTCGTAGATATTCTTTCAAAATGCATGTATTCCACTAACTTGTATTAAAAAAAAATTTTAATTACTAGCTTTAATAATACAATGATACCTAAAAAAAAACAAAGTGAGTAGCCTATGTGTTCTTCTCGACTATCAGCTACGTTTATACCAAATTTTATCAAAATCTGTTTAGTCGTTTGAGCTACAAGCCTTAGCAAACATCCAACCATCCATCAAAAAGGTTAATTGACAATGTTAATTTGCAACACAGATGGCGTTGATAGTTATTTATCTTGTGTGATTTGCTATTTTCTTGTTTTACTAAATTAGTGGAATTCAAATATTGAATTAAATAATCAACTTTTTCGTGTTGTAATTCTCTTTTCATGGCCACACAAGGAATATAGAATATTGTGTTTACATAAATAAGCAAATTTTATTCGTTCCTATAATTAGGTCTACACAATTATTGGTGTTTAGTCGGATTATTATAATCTGATATTTTATGACTACAAAGTCCTGATGGTCCGAACAAATTTAGAAATTTTCGAGAAGTTTCTGTAATACCCGCTACACCCAAATTTCAACTAAATAATTCGACTGTGATTGTGTGTAGTGGGCATATATTTAATAGTAGTTGTTGCTCGTGATTTTGCCCGCCTGAAATTAAAAAATAGCCTATGTTACTTACTGATTACGTAGCTTTTTAACGGTGAAAGAATTTTTTAAATCGGCCCAGTAGTTTTTGAATTATTTCAATACATACAAAAATAAAAAAAAATCCTCTTTAGTATATTAATATAGATTATCTACATACTTATTTTTTATCTTAAAAATAATTATTTTAGCAATAGTATTACATGTCTAGTTGCAATAACACTTTGTTGTTACAAAGAGTTCCGCCATCTTGGAATCGAAGTCAGTTTTGCTTATCTGTGAAAAAATATTTCGTTCCGTTCTTCAATTATTTCCTAATGATGTGAACTCCTGGGCCACGTCTTTGAAGTATTTCTCAGCACAATATATAAAGTGGCGAGCCTCGCTGCGCCTGACAGAATAAATAAAAGTTTTGTCGAAAACGCTAGTGGTGTGCCGTCGACACCAGACTACAGTATGCTGTAGTGATGTGAAATGCTAGACAATTATGTCGATAGAAAAATATTAAGTAATTCAGAATTTTTAAACATTTTTTTTAGCACTAAAATCTTATCAAAAATGTATGTGTATTGAGGAATGATGTAACATAGGTTAGTTTAATAGAAAAAAGCAAATAAGCGTATGATTTTAATATACTTAAGTGTCAAATTTTTTAAATTATATTACAAAGTAAGCATAATGAACAACACGAGGTATGTGTTTTTAAATACTTTGTTAAATATATATACTGCGCGCATTTTAAAAATAACAAACTACAATAAACTATCGACAAATCGATAGTCGATACGCACACGGACATCACTATTTGTATAACGCTGCGTGTGACAGGCGACACCTCGGCGCTCTAAGCCCAAAGCCCGGAGCCCCGGCCGCGCTTTCATCTCGCAAACTGCCGGATATTGTTAATGATACCACCTATACAACTATTGTATGGAAACCTCACGTCATCGTGTTTTGTAAGATTACCACACTTATAAGTGTGGTATTCCACCGTTGAATGTACAAGAACATTTAATTTACAATAATTTTGTAAATGTTGTAATGTAAACCGACGCTTACATTAAGATTGTTGTTGTCAATCTCTTTTTTAAAAGCGGACGCACACCTTTGACTAAACTCACACTGTTGTGCGATTGTCGATTGTTCCGACGCCCATTCAACTGCTTAGTTGCACTAAAAATCGCGTAGTGTGCACACCTACATAAACTCATAAGAATCAAACCGAGACTATACAGTTGTGCGATAGTTTAGTCAATGGTGCACGCTCTAAGACGGAAATACACTCTTTTAATTAAGTATTGTTTTTATGTCTAAAGATCTTAGTCATAATGCATTTAAAAAAACACGTTTTTTACTTACGAAACTGTATTCATTAAATACTAGCTATTCCCGTGTGACTTCATCCGCATGAAATAATGAAAATTGTTATATCGTTTACATTTGTCAAATTCAATTGCAAATGTCAAGATGATGACATGATGACAGTATGGCAGCCTTGCTTCCTTGATGTTGGCAGCAGCTTATGGTCTCTTTCCCACATTTTAGTTTTTATCCAAAATACTTACCCCTTAACTTTAATGGCGTGAAAATATGTAGCCTAAAGCGTGACTTACCTATAGGGCTTTTTATTAAAAAAAAGAATTATTCAAAAATATGCTGTAATTGCTGACATCTTAGGCAACAAAGAAGTGTGTGTTTACGCTTTATTATAATAGTATAGAGTATAGATTATCTTGCAAATAAATATTAGGTTATAAAGTTGCTGAAACTTTAAGCTCCATCAACCACTTAAAACGAATGTAGAAAGTATGTCATTTCAAAGCTAATCAGTCAAATGTATCATCAATAACAAGTTAAAACAAAATTGACATGAAAAATATTGAAATTATATTTTTACATAGAACACTTTCGTGACAAGAAATAATTAGAATGAAAAAGTCAAGCTAATTCACACTGTTCTATGTAGAACTAGCTTTCGCCCGCGACTACGTCCGCGTGGTATTGAAAAAAACAAAAGTGAGTAGCCTATGTGTTCTGCCGGACTATAATCTAGATCTATACCAAATTTCATCGAGATCCGTTTAGCCGTTTAGGCTACAAACTAACAAACATCCATCCATCTAAACTTTGGCATTTATAATATTAATATGATATAACCACTGCACATTTTATAATTATTCTATTGAAAAGCCCTACACTGACGTTACGCTATGCTATATTTTCACGCGATTAGTTTAATTTCGGGATTGGGTTTATTAGAGAGAAATGTCATGCGAGAAAGTGACAAAAACCAAAAGCCAATAGCAGCAAAAAAAGATTGCAACGATAATTGTTAACAAATTGCAAATCCTCTCTTTGTCGATTAAGCATTTGAATTTTGGCATTTGCAATCGAACGGAATGTGGACAACTGAACACAAACTTTTTATAATATAGAGGTTGAAGCCGTACGGGCATAGCTAGTCTAGACTCATGTATAACTAGTAACATAAAGAGAAAAGATTTGTATTTTTGTATTTATTGAAATAACTCAAAAACTACTGGACCGATTTTAAAAATTCTTTCACCGTTAGAAAGGTAATTTATCTGTGACATAGGCATTTTTTTACTATTTTTGAATTTCAGGCGGACGAAGTCGAGAGCAATAGTTTGTCTTTAACAATATTGATATTTTGAGTTCATATCAAATTAGTTTTATTGTAAAATATGCTACAGTATGACTATCATTAAAGAAAAATGTATGGAGTGTGTGTATGAAATGAGATGAGACCGCTGTTAGAGATGTATGGAAGAGTACCAGAGTACAATACACTGCATAGAAATGACCAAAAAATATATTTTTTTTAATATATCATTAAAAGAATTTAACCCTAGTGTTGGTCTGCTTATCTATACTGGTGGGGGCAAAAAGATTTATGTGGACACACGCCTGAGTATCATATAAATCAGGGCGAGCCCTGTAGGGCTCTCGCCGCGAGTGGCGCCATCTACCCAACTGTCATGTGCCAGGAAACAATACACGATGGCTTTTTACATTTTCCATTAAAAAATAAGCAAATAAAAATGAAAACATATAGTTGAAAATTAAAGACAGGAATACGTCAACAAAAAAAATTCGATAAACAATTTGTTTTAAAAATAAAGGGTTTTGGTCCACAAAAGTGTATTTTCTTCTTACCTTAGCGTCACCAATGTTTACACTTTTGGAACTAATCATTGTTAAGGGATCTTTTTTGAAAAATTACAGCTTTACAACTAGTGGTAAGCAATGACTTTTATTTTAAAAAATAAGGAAAAATACAGTACAATAATGGACAAGTTAATAACAGGCGAGCGGTAAAAGGCGGGGCACATAGAATATTCATAACTAGGCCATAGACAAACACATAGATCATAATTTTAAAACCATAGACAGTTTTTTTTTCTTTGTCATTTCGTTAAATTGCAACGAGATTTCGGCCACAGATTATAATAGTTCAATAAAAGTTTTAGATAAACGTTTCAGAATTTTAGGAAGTTTTTTTTTGTCGAAAGAAGTTTTGAAATCGTATTCAATGCATACGTTTAAGGTAAACATCTTTCTAACTGCTTCAAAATAGCTATAATGTTGACATTAACACAAGTGAATGCAGAAAATCAGTGCAAAAATTTATAATAATGCTTTTCTTTAAGAAAGAAAAATAATACTAATATTATAAACGCAAAAGTTTAGATGGATGTTTGTAGCCTAAACGGGTGAACTTATTTCGATGAAATTTGGTACTGTAGGGGATAGTCTGGAAGAACACATAGACACACTTTTGTTTTTTTTTTTAATTCCACGTTGACGAAGTCGCAGGCGAAAGTAATAGATATACACAATTTGTCTTATTTTCGTCTATTTCAAGATGAACCCAAACTGATCGATATTAAACCTAACCACTGGACACTAGTGGTACTACAAACTAGGGCTGTCCAATAATCGATGACAAGAAGGGTGGTCCCCGAGAACAAACACAGTGAATTATAAAGCGCGGGAAACAACAGATGTTACTGACCACGCAAAGACATTTAAATAATATATAGACGAGGCAGTGAACAAAAATTTTTTCACTGGTACTTTCTCTGAAAGGTACTATATCAGTTGTCAAGTTAAGCCACTTCGTGTAATGACGTGTAATAATACATTTTTTATAAATCAAATAAACAGTGCTACAAAATGAAATGTAAACATTTAAATACAACAAACTAGCTTTCGCCCGCAACTCTATCCGCGTGGAATTAGAAAAAACAAAAGTGAGTCGCCTATGTCTTCTTCCATACTATCCTCTACATCGATGCCAAATTTCATCGAAATCCGTTCAGCCATTTAGGCTACAAACTCTAACAAACATCCATCCATCTAAATTCGCATTTATTCTAATTTCGCATTTATAATATTAGTATGATTAGTATGATCATATAACATGTGGTTTTTAGGACTTAAATTAGGCCTCCGGCACCACACTCATCAGACGAAACGCGGAGTTGCTTCCACTTCACGCCTGTTTATGTGTGGTCGTGGTATTACACCGGGCCAGCCGGCCCATTCGTGCAAAGATGTTAAAGCGGGCTCTACCACTGTTAAAGACGAAACTTAACGCTATCTATCACTAGATAGCGTTAGTTAAGATTTTGTGAAAAATGTTTCAAATGAAATGTCTATACCTTCTCTATATATTTGAATCTCTTTGTCACTTCTACGTTATATCAGGTATTAACTCTAAAGGTTGTTGAGTTTATCTATTTTTAAGAGAAAAGAATGGACCGTGGAGACGATTTGACAAGGTAGGTGGAAGGACTATCGTGCGATTCTCTGTCAATGAAAACAAAGTTCGGTAATTTAGCGAATTCTGTTAATCTATACCTACTATCAATATAAAGACACTGGCGCTATCTCGTGGAGGCCAAGACCAACTTTGGGTCGCTGCGCCAACGCAGTAACATTATAAAGAGCAAAGATTTATTTTTTGTATGTAATAAAATGACTCAAAAACTATTGGGCCGATTTTAATAATTCTTTCGCCAATAAATAGCTACGTTAACCTTTATCGCTGAGTAACATCTATATTATATGATTTATAACACGGCTAAAACTCACGTGGGAACTTTCGGTGTAGGCACCGATCAGTTTCGAATCCGTAGGGGGTCCTTCTTCAGGGTGAATGGTTGCCGATTTTATTCGCTATCGCGTTGCAACGGTCACTGAAACTGGTCGGTGCCTACACCGAATGTTCCCTCGTGAGTTACTTATTAAAACTTTTATTGTAGCGGCGACGAAGATGCTAGCAACAGCTAGTATATTAAAATTATGTATTATTTTTAGTTTAATTGGATTTAAGATGAAAAGGAGTACTGAAAAAAAACGATAAAAGATCTAGATAAAGTCATTAGGCCCTTAATTTATAGTTAACAAAATACTTTAAATACATAACACATTTTCCCTCCAGTATATAGGTAAATAATATACCTGCTGTATACCGCTAATACTCTGTCTTCGTGAGGAATAAACGTTTGGAACTCAACCATTCAGTCGCTGCAAATACAGCGCTCTTTATAGAAATCGTTGTCACCGAGTTAGAGATAACTAGAAGTGGCATACGATATACGAGCGTAGTTAGAAAATAAATTAAAACACCCGTGTAAAGTAAACCAAACTAGATTAATAGTAACATACTAAATTAGTGTATTTTGAAGTTTTTTATTATATTCTTACTCTCAGCTCATACTTAGACTAAATTACAGTTTTACTAGCTTTCGTCCGAAACTCCGTCCGCGTTGAATTAAAAAAAAACAAAAGCAAGCAGCTTATGTGTTCTTCATACTATTCTCTATATGTATGCCAAATTTCATCGAAAGTATGGGCTAATGTAAGCGTGTCAGTTAATATAAAATCCGATTATATTGCTGTAAACATGTCATATCTATCATTCGTAGATCAGTGTATTCTATAGCTCCGTGCCTGAGTCCGCTATCGCTAGATTACGATCGACAGTTGCGGGCGTTCCCACCGTGCTCTGCCCACGCCCAACTCACAGCCCACGGCCCACGGGGACCGCAAATCCACGCGGATTCAATGTAGTTGTTTACCTTTCTATCATGTGATCTTACACGAAATTACATAGATACTAACTTTTGCCTGCGACTCGGATAATGCAAAGTCGTCAGCTGTCTTCTAGCTGTCCTATAGAATAATAAATTTAAAATACTAATAACCACTCCAAATAAGACCGTATTAGTAATAACTGTCTGTATCTGCTGGCGACAATCCCTACTTTTTTTTTATATAACTAGTATACATAAGGTGGCAAACGAGCATGCGGCCACCTGAATCCACCGAAATGGAAAGCAATCGCTGCCCATAAACATCCGCAATTGCAGATGCGTTGCTTATCCTTAATTGACAGAGGAAGAGACGAACATAAACAGGACATTTCCTCTTTTTATGCGTCTCCTCCACCGTCAAATCCACTTTTCTTTTCCATCCTTTCCTCTTAGGAAAAGGAGGGAAAGGAAAAGGGACTATCGTAACATGAATACGAAAGTATAGATGGATGTTTGTTTGAGTTTTTACCCAAAACGGCTAAATCAATTTCGATGAAATTTGGTATAGATGTAGAGAATAGTCTGAAGGAACATATAGTCTACTCACTTTTGTTTTTTTCAATTCCATGCAGACGTAGTCGCGGGCGAAAGCTAGTAATATAATAAATGCGAAAGTACAGATGGATGTTTGTTAGAGTTTGTAGCCTAAACAGCTGAACGGATTTCGATGAAATTTGATAAAGATGTAGAGGATAGCCTGGAAGAACACAAAAGCTACTTATTTTTGTGTTTTCAACTCCACGCGGACGGAATCGCGAGCAAAAGCTAGTGTAGTATAAGACAACACTTCCCGCTGTCTTTCCCTACGTATGCTTAGATCTTTAAAACTACGCAATGGTTTTCAATGCATTTTTAATAAAGTGTTTCAAGAGGAAGGTTTAAATGTTTGATAAAGTAGAGAAATACTGATAATTTTAGATGTTTCTAATGACATTGTCGTATCAGCATGAGACCCGTGTGTAGGGGCGGCCGCTAGACACCGAATAAACCTTTACTAGAAAGTTTGTTGAGTAAACGGATTCAATTTGTATTAAATGTGCGATAGTTATATGAAATCAACTCACATTTCCGTCTGTCTGTAGAAGTTGGCTGGTACTCTTTGTCCGGAATTTCCTCCTTCACTTTTGCTTCCATCTGTAAAAAACGTCTTGGATTAGTTTGACGTAGACTATATATGCAATTATGTCTTTAAAAAAAATTATGCACTCAAATACAAGATTAATTTATTTATTAAATTATTGAAGTCGCCGAAATAACGAAACGACCGCAGCCCATAGACATCAATTGCAAATGCCTTTAATCTAAAGAGGAAGCACAGAAAAATTACTCTTCTATGCACCGTCTTAGTCTTATCAGCTTCTCCTCTACTTACATTGTAAGAAAATTGTGGGAAGGAAAAAGATCTAAAATCAAACTTCCGATGCACTCATCAGATAAAGGGGAAATTGCTTCAAGAAGTGTAATGTGATTTAAATTGGCTGTTATAGAAGCTTATAAGCCAGTAAAAAAAATGAAAAACGCTTTATTGTTACACAAAAGTAGACATTTTGAGACCTCTGCCTTGTAGGTTACCTTGTGTAGGAGGCAGCGCCTCTTAATCTAGGTTATAGGTAATTTTTGGTCATGAATATATGTGTGTGTTAGTCTTAATAAATAAAGAAAAAATAAAAAAGTCTCTTATTTCCAGCAACTTAGTAATTGTAATTAATGATACATTACAATGTTTCTTTTAATTGAATACTTAGACATTTAAAATTTTTAAACTAACAGGGTGTATTTTTTTAATGTCTTGGACGTTGTGGGAACCTCTCGCGAGTAAAGGCCTCCTCCAAAGCCAGCCAGTTTTCTCTTGATTTTGCGATTTTATCCACTGTGGTCGTACTGTTTTCTTTATATCTTCTTCCCATATATTATAGTTGTTAGTCTTAGTTATTCTAAAAATCATTAAAGCCCCAAGAGACTGCAAGCGCAAGTTTCATATAAAGAAACCGTTTAAAACCCACACATTTACCGCACAATTTATCACAGTAACATGTGAAAAGTTTGCAAATCGTGTAAACAAGTGCAAATGTAATTTTCACTCGTTCCTTTTGGATTCGACGTCCGGTCATACCTCAGGGTTCGTCCCACGCTGGTTGTTATTTGCAGTAACATAGCAGGGGGCGGTGTTGACGGACACCTGCGCTATGCGGACACTGGTCAGTGTTGCCGGAGGGAAATATTTTAATGGAGCGCGCGATAACACGAGCCAGGCGAGCGTAGACTAACTACTGACAGAGATATCGAAAAAAAGAAAAGGGATTCATTCTATCAAGTTCTAGTTTCTTTCATAGTTTTGTATTTTATTTGTATAAAGTAACTCAAGTTTTTAAAGTTTATAGTCATTTTAAATTGTAAAAAAAAATATTTGCATAAGGAATGTCACTCGAATAAACTCATATACACATGGGCGTCGTCATCCGATTTTCTAGGCTAAGCCTAGGGCACCTTTAACATGACCTTGTTTAAAACAGTGTTTATTGTTTATATCTATCTAACATTTTTCAATTTTCTAAGGGGTCAGCTAAACCCCCTTCTCTCATATCGACGCTCTTACACTCACACTGATACTTTTTCTCCTTTTTATTGTTTTTCTAAAGATTTTAAAATAATTTAATATACTTGTAATAATCGTAAATAAATGTGAATCTCTACGTTTAGCTGGTCTGTGCATGCAAGCGTCTGTCGGTCGTCAAAGCTGACGGCGCGGTCAAGTACACAGCAAGCTACAACAGGCTCACCTCGGATATACTGACTACATAACCTACTCTTCTCAGCTTCTCCCGTCCACACGGCTACGCATATGAAAAACATGTCTTTTTAAAAGGAAAGAGAAGATAAATCGATTTTAGTTTTGTTTAAATGTAGTCCGCAAACTTCGGTAGCGCGAAAAAAATGGTCTATAAGAGCGAGCGTATCTTACAAAACTATCGCACAACTGTTTAGTCTTGCTTTGAATCCTATAAGCTTATATGGATTTAACACGACTCGATTTTTAGTTGTGCAACTAAACAGTTGAATTGGCTGAGAAACAATCGACAATCGCAGAACAGATATGCCATTGTTAAAGCAAAGGTTTGCGCCCGCTCTATGATCGTTTTGGAGATTGCCTGGAACAAGCGGACAGACACACAGACAAATTTGTTTTAACGTCGTTATCACCAACGCAAATATACATCGTCTTCGGGAAATTCAGATTATTTTTTCGACATTACATACGGATACTCAAATTTTATTAATTTTATAAATTACAAGATCAAATGCGATTCATAATTTCAAATTTAACTAATGTTAAAATATCCGTAAATCATAAATTAATTATTAAAAAAACCTTCAAACTATAACTATATTTCTTTCGATTTTCATAAGAATCATCGAGCATCAAACAAAGGGGTAGTAGCGCCGCGGTCGCTGGGAGTGTGGGGTGTGGGGTGGGGTAGGATAACAGGTGCGGCGGTGAGTCCAGGTGCCAACGGCGAATACAATTTTTACTTCGGCACGTAATTGCTAAGAGCGGGTGCGCGGTCGGTGGTGATATATGACGTAGAAACTATACGGTACTAGCTTACGCCTGTAACATCAACAAGGAATTAAAAAAAAAACTATCACTCTATGTGTTTATGCTTATTTTTTTTTTAATGAGAAGGGGCAAACGAGCAACGGGAACACAAAGGTGGTCAACGACGCTCATGGACATCCGCAACACCAGAGGAACTATAGATGCGTTGGCGGCCGTTATATCATTAAGATCCAGCAGTTTAGGCTGTAAACTGTAACAAACATACATCCAAACTTTTGAATTTACACATAATATTAGTAAGATAAGTTAAAAATGAAGGATTTGTTTGTCTCTTCATTCTGGATATCCGTTAAAGAAGTTCATAATCAAAGCTAAAGACCAGATTCTTATACGTTAATGAAATCTGACTGACGAAATAACGTCAAAGTGAAAAGACTATTATTTCCTGTAATATCTATCTGAAATCTATACATCTTTATATCAAGACTAGCTTTAACCCGCGACTGCGTCCGCGTGGAATTAAAAAAAACTAAAAGGTATAGCCTATGTGTTCTTCTAGATTATCCTCTACATCTATACCAAATTTTATCTAAACTTTCGCATTTAAAATATTAGTATGATAATACAATTAAATACTGTTTATAATTAATTATTTACGGCTTACTCACGTATACTTTTCTTTTTCCGGTGACGGCACCGACCAGTTTCAGACCCTGCGGGGGTCCTTCTTCAGGGCGAGGGTTAAGGATGTATCGCGGTCACATATATATGCGGATACATCCTGAAACTGGTCGGTGCCGTCACCGGAAAAAGAAAAGTATACGTGAGTAAGCCGTAAATAATTAATTATAAAATGTCTCACGAAAGTTTAAATATTTTAAATACTGTTTATATAAACGATGTAGCAACAACTAAAACCTGGCCTCGATATCTAGAACAAATGTTAAGATCTGCATCGACGCAATCCAGGCTAGCATTTAATCTGGACTGACGATGGATTTTAAAGATGCAACTTAGGGTGTACTCACATACGCGGGAATTATCTATACTAATGTAATAAAGCGTAAACACACACTACTTCGTGGCGTAGGATGTCAGCAATCACAGCATTTGTTTGAATAATTCTTTCTTTAATAAAAAGCCCAACACTTATGACACGCTTTAGGCTATATATTTTCACGCTATTAAACTTAGGGGGCAAATAATTTGGAAATAAACCTTCATGTGAAAAAGGGACCATAACTGACAACATTAAGGAAGCAAGGTTTTTATGGTATCGGTAATCTTGACATTTGACAAACGTGAACATTTTTTTATAATTCCTTGTGGATGAAGCCACATGGGAACAGTTAGTATTTAATAAGACTAAAGATTTGATATAATAAATGCTTCATCGCAAACAATATTTTACTAATATTATAAATGCGAAAGTTAAGATGGATATTTGTTTGTTTGTAGCTTCAACTGATAAACGACGTGACGAAATTTTGCATAGATGTAGAGGATAGCCTAGAAGAACACATCGGCTACATGCTTTCATTTATAATTCCACGCAGACGGAGTCGCGTGTAAAATCTAAATAAACTTTTTATCGCAAACAATGGTATCTTACGTCTTAATCTTCTAATAAGATAAATTAAACTCAAGTCAACATTTAATACATGTATTTCAACATTAGAAACTCAGTAACTAGTATTAGTGTGAACAGGCCCTTATACAGAGTTTCATAAATAGCGTCCGCCCGCGCGCCATATGGCCCGCACGTGCTGACCATACACTGTGCGTCACATCCGGACAGATACCACTTCCGGACAACTCAAGGTTATACGGAAAGACCATCGGCCTAGTCCCACCATGGGTGTTAGGTGGCCCAAACCCCCTTTTAATACAGAAAATCAAAAGTCCTGTTAACCTTTCTTTCTTAGACAATGTCATGCACGGAAAGATATGTCCCATGCGTCCCTTTTTCTGTCAAATCCATTTCTCTTTTCATCCTTTCCCTATAAGAATAGGAAGGAGAGATTAGCTAAAAATAAGACGACACACCATCAAAAGTAGCGCGGAATTGCATTTGACGCGTGTGTTCTGTGTGGTTATGATATTGCAGCTTGCAATAGATGGCGCTGGTGTTTACCACTGTTAAATGTTCGATTGAAAACGTAAAAGGTAAAATATATTAAGTGTAGGGACATCCTACGAGATTTTTTATCCATCAATTTAGTGAGATAATTCTATTTGAAAAGGGATTATTAAATTTGCGAGAGTATTTCGGATTTGGGTGAGTAAAAAGAATCGTATTTCTCTGTAAATCGTCCTAAATAGTATTAAATCACTATTTCCGATAAAAAATATGTGCTTAAATTAAGTTGTACATAATTATTAGAATGATAAATCTTTTATTGGCATATTTCGTATATTTGTATATAAAATATCTATACTATTATAATAAAGCGTAAACACACGCATCTTTGTTGCCTAAGATGTCAGCAATTACAGCATATTTTTGAACAATTATTTTTTTTAATAAAAAGCCCTACACTTACGTCATGCTTTGGGCTATATATTTTCACGCCAT